CAAATTCTGCCGTGTCAAGTACTTACGAGTGGTTCATCCCAAGATGGAAACATCGTTTTTCGGTAATCTGAATCAAAGAAACCTGGTTAATGCAGGAGAGTTTCCAAGCTCTAATTTTTTTGCTTCATTTGCTGAAATGGCTAAGAGGGTCTGGCTCCTGCATTGCTTGGCCTTCTCCTTCAACCCCGAGGCTGCAATCTTTCAAGTAAGCAAGGGATGCCGATTTTCAGAAGTCTACATGGAAAGCTTAGCTGAGGAAGCGTTCCTTTCAACAGCATCTGAACCACAAGTGGGGTTCACAGTTGTTCCGGGATTCAAACTTGGTAAAACTGTTATTCAATGCCAAGTTTATCTCTCTAAGTCACAATCAACTCCAAGAAAGCGAAGGTAATCCATTGATCAATGATCATTCACCAATCACCGAATCGAAGGTTGATCATCGGCTAAACCCGGGCCCACAACATCTGGTTTATCACATAATGAACTTGTGAGGCCATTTTATCATTTGATTTTACTGATTTCAACTTGGTGAGGGAGAGGGAAATGGTCTGTCTGGTTGGTTGGTTTTGCTGTGGGGACTTCCAACTTGGTCACATTGGAGATTTCTTAATCCATTTGTTTTTCTTGCACCATTTTGAAAAAAGAAAAGCGCGTGGACCGTTGTGTTGGAAGCTAGCTTTTGAATCTTTCTTTAGTTTTATTATTTCTTCCAAGGACATCCCACAATTTTGTTAATATTAGGTCAGTGACAGAGGGATTGTCTAGCTGTTCTGCATCATTGTTACCGGACATGGCATGCTTTAATAATGTAAATAATAATTTATAGGTGGAATTTTTTATGTTCCTATTCTTTTACTTGTCTCTGCTTTTCTTTTCCACCAAAAGGTGTCTAGTCTAGCATGTTGAATGGTCCACTAGGTTGGCCCTGTAGTACGATCCACATCCATCAACAGTTTACAATCGTCCAATCCTTTATTATTGTAAAATTCATATTCATCAACAATTCATAACTGCTCTTTTAAAAAGCGATAATTTAAACCACTCTCATACAGAAAGATTTACAGTTGCCGTTCATTGTAAATCCATATTCGTCAACGATTAATAAATCGTGCGTTTAAAAAAGCGATATTTTAAACCACTCTAATCTAGAAGGAGGGTAAAAAGAAACAGACAAACTTGCCTAACCTATTAGACTTTTTGGAGCCGAGTGTGATGCTCACTTGTATAATTTAAACCACTCTCATACAGAAAGATTTACAGTTGCCGTTCATTGTAAATCCATATTCGTCAACGATTAATAAACGTGCGTTTAAAAAAGCGATATTTTAAACCACTCTAACCTAGAAGGAGGGTAAAAAGAAACAGACAAACTTGCCTAACCTATTAGACTTTTTGGAGCCGAGTGTGATGCTCACTTGTACTATTTATGCATTGAAAGTTGAGGTCACTTTCATTGAACTGCGCTTTAACTTATTGGTCTGCACTCTGCAATGTGGAATATGCATGCATGATGCACATTGGGTCTATAATCAACAAATAAAAGAGAAAAATAATATGTACATTTTCGGGTCCCAAAGAGTACGCCTACTTTATTTATTCTGTGTTCATGGTCGGTGATGGTGGGCCATTATGGGAAATGACAAGCTATTAGCACATTCGTCTTCCTCTGCCAAAAGGGTAACATGGCATTGTTTAGAGCCTCTCATCACGCTCTGTGTTCCCATATGAAGAAAAAAAATATCTGCGATTCATTTAATTTCAAGAGAGCCACATTATTTGGTTGTGGGAAAATGATGGAATTTAGATAGGCAGTTGTTGTAGCTTTAACTACAGGAGACATAATGACACGCTTCAAAGAGAAGAGAGTGAAATTTCAGGTGATCCTTTATTGCTTCCTTATCCCTTTACAATCCAACCACATGGTTGTTATATATATATATACACAAAATGGGTTTTGATCTTTCAATTCCTGGTTACTTGGATCATGGTGTTTGGTTCATGTTTGGTTCATGGATGTCTCATATCACATGGTGAGGATTTTTGTTTCTGATCATCCCTTGTCATATATTACGTTTGAATTTTAAGATGAGATGTGCTAAGTAAATCATCCATAACGGGATGTTTTGTTAACCAATCGTTGATGTATGTGGAACTCATAATCGGTCATGCGCTTGTGGAAAACTGACATTTGCAAAACATTTCTTCCCCATTCTAATATCTTATGGTGTTTTTCGGTGCTTAATTTGGACACCTGCTCATGGGCGGCTAAAGTAAACGATAGATGGAAATCTGGAGACAGAGAAAAAGAACAAAGAAGATAGAAAACCTTTCGATTGAGGAATTGTAAAATGTGCAACTTTATTAGGCTAAATTACATTTTTGATCTTCGTAGTATGACTCATTTTTCGTTTTAGTCTTCATCATTTTAAATTGATAATTTAATTTAGTTATGTAATTTTGTTTAGGTAGCAATCAAGTCCAACAACTGTAAATTTGTAAGAAAAATGGACGAAACTATCACGTTTTAGGTTGATTGCAAATATTTTGTAGAGATAAAGTTTCCTTTACATGTTGTATAGCTGCATATTGCGCATCGAATTTCAAGAAGTAACTAGACATATTTACGATTTGGACTCTATTGCAAGCCAAATGAAACTACATGACTCCAAATGCTAAAACTGAAATTATATAGGGACTAAAGTGAAAAATTAGTCACACTATGGGGACAAAAAAATGTGACTAAGCCAATTTATTATAGGAAGGTGAAGATGATATGTTTCTTGAGTGTATATTTGGACTTAATAGTCTTTTTCTTCCTTACAAGGCCTTGTTTTCTTCATAAAGCTATTTTTATTTATTTAAAAAGAACTATATTAAGTTCAATGTATTTGAAATGTTCTTCATTTGATATGATTATATGCGACCAATTATTTGAAATCCCTTTGTTTTCTTCCTCTCCTTTTTTTTTCTCTTGTCCAAATCTTAGATGATATTATATGTTTCTAACCAAATAATTATACCTTATAATGTCATCTAAATAGAGATTCCGAGTCCTCCATCCAAATGTAGCCTAACATACTTTATCTAGTCATTGATAATGTAAAATCTTGGTTGAATTAATTTTCGCATTCTGACAATATAGCATGTCAGCATTTGACAAGAGAACATTATTATTCACGAACAAACATATATATAGATGCAATGGCGGACCTATTAAGGTGTAAACCATTGTAGGTGCTTCAAATTACCCCTTTGCTCAGCTGGTGGTGGTGCACTCCAGGTGTTCGACAAAATGACTCACCCAAAGTCTTTGTTGCCCTGCGCGTCTAATTTTGTTTTTGTTTTTTAAAAGTCCTGGCCAAAACGACTAGGAAAAAAGAAAAGAAAAGAGGAGGAAACCAGACCGCAATTCATGGGCTTTCAACAATTAGGCCTGTATTTTGTGGGCTTTAAAAAGTCTTTAAACATGTTTTTCTTTCTTATTTAAACAAGGATTACAAAATGATTTTAAAAGGAAGGAAATCAATTGGCATGTTATTGCTGTGTTTTTATCCTTCTTCACCAAAAGTAAATATGATGTGCTGCGTTTTTTTTTCCTTCTTGACCAAAAGCCAATTAGTTTCTTCTTCTTTTTTTCGTTTCTCTTTTTCCCCTTTTTTCTGATTTGACTCTTATGATCAGTATTCAGTAGCAAACTCTACACGACTTGAGGTGTGATCAATTACAATTTGTTTATTTTATTCAATTATTTTTTTATAAAGCTTTTAGCCTTTCAAAATTGCACATCCGCTAAAAAATTCATGGTTCCACGAGTGTATAGATGTATCATGTCTGCACTAATTGTTTCTTAAACAGGTTGCTGCTGAGCACTATGAACAAGCAATTGGAACTGATGTGAGTGAATCCCAGCTGCAGCGTGTAATGCCGCATACTCGGGTTTGATATGCCCACACGCCATTAGGCATTGCAGACGATGAAGTAATAGCCTTTTGGTAGGGGGTGAAGATTCAGATGACTTGGTGACTATCGCCCAAGCTGTGCAATGGTGGTTTGACCTACCAAAGTTTTACAATATTGTTTCGCGTCTTTTGAAGAAGCCAGGAGGTGTATTTGCTGTTTGCTGCTACAATGACATTGAAGTTGGTCCAACACTTGATCCTATTTCATGACACATTCCCTTCTGGGACAAGATCAACACTATTTGATGGCTACAAGACGCTTCCATTTCTTTTTGAAAGTGTCGGTTTTGCATCCGATTGCCACTGGACATTCCAAAGAAGCTTTCATTTGAAGGGTTTGAAGTCTCTGGAAAGGTGGTTAAAGAGTTTGAAAGTGCTTGGGGTGGCTCCAAATGGGTCAGGTCTGTCAGCTACAAGGCTTTTATATATATGCTTGCTGGAAAAGTTAGGCTATGAAGCCTGTGATAGGGGTGTTTAGGAGAGTTTCTTAAAGCACGTAAATTCTTATATGTATATATGTGTGTGTGTGTGTATGTATACTTAAAAAATAGTGAGTGCTTGAACATTCCTTTTGGGTAAGAAATCATAATCACCTAGAAATAGTTTGATTCAGTTGAATTTCCAACTTGCAATCAAATGAAAATATCGACAATGTTGATTTCTTGGACTGCAGTCATCATTGGAATAGGTTCAGAAAAAACAAAGTTCTGTGGGAGCTTCACAAATAAAATATATATAAAATAAAAACAACCTTTTGACTGATATTAACCTTGTCCAATCAGCAATAAGTAGTCCAAAATTATGAATGGTGCAGCAAACACACTAACATAAAAAACGGTAGTCAAATTCAGCAAATATATTTGATGCTGTCTTGGTATCAATCAACTGTGAGACTTTAAATTATTGATGAGGTGGGCCTTGATTTTTAGACTACTAGTCGAAGAGAAAATAAAATTGCTTTTGCTTTCTCTTGCAACCCTTCAAATTCATTAGTTGAAACGAAATTGGACTTGGCTTCTACCCTTTCATTAGTTGAAAAGAAAAAGCTTAGGAGTCAGGAGAGGAAGATGACATATGTCTATGCGTCAGCTTTAGTGAGTTAAAAGATGCCTCATCTTCTTCTCTTGTTTCATTATTTCATACAGAGAGAGAGAGAGAGAGCGAGAGAGAGTGAAAGAAATGGCAGGTTTGTTTGACAAACAAGCAGATGTGTACTTGGATGGAAGGCCAACTTATCCCAAGGAATGGTATTCCAAGTTAGCAGCTCTCACCCCTCACCACACTCTAGCCTGGGATGTTGGAACAGGCAATGGCCAAGCCGCCATAAGTGTTAGTATTACAATATAATATACTACCCCCTCCCCCTCCTCTTCTTCTTCTTCTTCTCTCTCTCTTTGGAGCATGGCTAAAACCTATAGATTAAATTGAAGGAAAAACCTCAAAAAGGGGGCAGTTATCCTATTTTTAAGTTGAGTGATGTGTGAAATACGATTACCATTCTTGCAAAGTTGAGTATTGTAAGGTTTTTTCTGAACTTTAGACCATATTTGTGGGCTTATATGTGAAACTCTCTTTTGTTATTCAAGACTTCCTAAGACCACATAGAATAGAAGAACAAAATAGAAAATCAAGTTCTTACCTCAAACATAAATTTTGTAATTAAGACAGACAAATAAAACTGACCATTGATCACATCAAATCTTGGTTGAATTTTTTGTCTAGATGTGCAGTCTGACAACATATATAGCATGTTAACATATTTATTCAGACAAAGAGAGCGAAGTGAACGTTGTCATTCGCGAACAAAGATATATATATATATATATATAGATTTATGCACTAAATTGTTTCTTAAACAGGTTGCTCAGCACTATGAACAAGTGATCGGAACCGATGTGAGTGAATCCCAGCTGCAGCATGGAATACCGCATCCTCGGGTTCGATATGCCCACACGCCATTGAACATTACAGACGAGGAAGTAATAGCCTTGGTAGGTGGTGAAGATTCAGTTGACTTGGTGACTGTGGCTACAGCTGTGCACTGGTTCGACCTACCAAAGTTTTACAATCTTGTTTCACGTCTTTTGAAAAAGCCAGGAGGTGTATTGGCTGTTTGGACCTACGGCGGTGGCATTGAAGTAAGTCCAACATTTGATCCTGTTATGAAGCGATTTCATGACACAACACTTCCCTTTTGCGACAATAGAGCTCAGTATGCGTTTGATGGCTATAAGACACTTCCATTTCCTTTTGAAAGTGTCGCGGGTTTCGGATGCGAGGGGAACCCGTTGCCACTGGACATTCCGGCAAAGCTGTCATTTGAAGGGTTTTTGAAGTTTCTGAGGTCATGGTCTGCATTCACTACAGCCAAGGACCAAGGTGTGGATTTGTTACCTGAAAAGGTGGTTAAAGAGTTTGAAGCTGCTTGGGGTGATTCTAAATTGGTCAGGTCTGTCAGCTACAAGGCTTTTATGCTTGCTGGAAAAGTTAAGCTGTGAAGCCTGTGATATTATTATTACGCATATTGAATTTGAAACAGAGAGTGGGAAAGTGGGGATTGATAAGGGTACGTAGGAGTTGCTTAAATAAAACATGTAGTTTGATTTTCTGTTGAGTTTCCGACTTCATTGCAACAAATAAAAATATCGCACCCTCAAGAATATCTATGACATCAGGTCCTGAATTTTTTAAGTCCTAGGAATATCTGTCACAAAAAAATTTCAGCGAACTCAAAAACAATATCCTCCATAAAAACAATGTCTGCGTCCTCAACCCAAGAGATTTAACGCACACTTTAGCAAAAGAAAGACTTCAAGAGTTACAGAAGCAAAGCTGTTCATAGCAAACAAAAGGATCTCCTTCCACAACTTTCAATTGAAACATTGAATTTCACAAGTGTTTGAAGCCCTTGGGAACAATATAATTTCCATCAATACCTCTAACGCGTTATCAAACTCCATATCGAAAGTCAAAACTTTCAACTCATTGAGGAGCTGACCGTGCTCCAACAAATACTCTACCATCTCCATCTCATCTGACCCTCCCTTGAATCCCGATATGCAAATAGTCTTGAGGCATGAAGACAAACAAACAGGCACAAGCTCGGGTGGAGACCATTTATGTTCCAACTCATCTTCATCATGAGCAGCATCGCATTTAATGTTCTAAAGATAGTTCAAAATATGAGTAAAAATCCTTGAAAACTGAATACACATATATTTGAGGGACATCTTGTAGGACCCTCCACTTGTATTTCAATTATTCGAACTGTCAATTTTCTAGGTATTTCCTCAAAGATCATGTTTACAAAAAATCAGTTAAATCTCCAACCAACCACTCAATTAAATATTGTTTTATTGGTCACAATTAGAGATGTCTTAATGGTTTTCAATTTGTCTAATTTTTTGCGATGATGGTATTTTAATGAACACTTAAAAAAATAGACACGGTATACTTAGGACCATGTATATTTATATATATATATAGTTATTCTCTTATCCGGATGTCCGCACGTTATTATCGTGCGGATCCTATTGTAAACAGGCAAGAAAACAGAGAGGAGTAATACAAAATACACGGTGTCCGCACGATAATAACGTCCGGATGTCCGCATAAGAGAATTTCTGTATATTATATATCCAGACCATATATTTAGCGTAAAGGTAAATCCACTTAGACTTACAATTGCAAAGAGAAGATGTTCCAAATTGGGCGTTATCTTGAGCATGTTTGTCAGTGATTTCCATGAGCAGCATGCTAAGTGATTTAGCTCCAACTGGTTCAAATGATTGAATGTTGGCAAAGAACATTGATATTCGATGTGAGGATCCTGCATGGAACAATAAGTATATTAGGTCATTTACCTCAGAAATTAAATATTTCGTCAGCATAATATATACAATATCAATACAATATAATGCTATTTGAACCACATTTATTGACCACCTTTCTAATGAAGGTAGGCTCCATTTGTATTATACAATATGTTCAGTAAATATAGTACAAATAACATCATTTCATACAACATTAACATTGACAAATTCTAGCAATTGAAAAGGCAACAGACCAGTAAGAGAACAAGTTGAGTATACAGTTTACCCCCAAAACTGGAACTACAAGTGACAATTGTTTAACATTGCTGATTTCTGCAAAAAGCCTCTGCACACGATCAACATCAGCAAGGACATCGGCAGGGTGGCCTTCATCCTCCTCACGCATTACGCTGAAATCAATCTTGGCGTTGGTCAAGGATTTTGCACCCTTCAAACAATAGCTCGCCAAGAAGTTCTCCGTGAGATCCAAGTCTTCAAGACTTGGAACATCCGCGTTAACAAAAATCTTGTTCTCCCCTAGTGTCATAGCATGAGCAAACAAGTATATTTTTAGTCTTTTTAGTTTCGGTGCGGAGATCGTTACATTCAAAACTTGATTCTCTTCAAGCCATCCAAGATCTCCATCTACAACCAAATCTTCGAGCGCAGGGCAGCAGGAAAAGAGCGTCTCGATTTGCTCGACATATTTTGGAAAATCGAATGTAATGTGGAGGGACTTGAGCCTTGGGAAACAGTTTGATGCGAGAGGAGCAACGGCAGTAACATGCTCTCCCAGACTCAGCTTCAAAGTCTCCAAAGTCTTGCACACGAAAAGATCTTGAGGCAACACAAGAAATTCGTGCGAATCGTCCCTCTCATCAAACTCAAGGTGGAGCTCAACAACATTACGCCTAAGGGCAGTGCAAATCCATCCATTGATACGACCAACTATGCCGTTGAGATCGACACAGCAAAGATGAAATTTGTGAATGTTTGATGATCCGCGAAAGAGAAGGTATCGATCCACATACGCTGCAGTACCACCTGAATCCCATGCAGTTGACAACACAATTAGCTCTACAGTGGGAACAAGAGTCCACATATTCTTCCATCGATTTGATAAAAAGCAGGTCGTTACAGCATCTGATGTTGGAAGGAAGGAAAGAATGTGGCAAATGATTGCATCTGGCAATGCACTGATCCTATCTTCAGTGCGTGCTTTGGGACACATTGACTTTGAGTTCGAATCCATTTCCAATGATATGTTTTCTGAGGGAAAAAAAAAAACATAATGTGGTAAGGGAGAAAACCCTTTGACAAAAAAAGAAGAAGAAGGTGAAAACCCAAACAACCATGTGATTTCGGTGGCTTTACAAGCATTGTACGCTTGTTTTAGTACCCATAGAAAATAAAAATTATTTGGTTTATGTCCTTGGGACATTGCTTGTAAAGGGAGAAATTATAGAACAGTTTCACAAATATGCAAAAATAATTCACAAAAAGAAAAATTTATGTACACATGTCAAACGAAGTAGAGGTTTATACTTTCACGGGAATGAGGAAAGTATTTTTTGAAGAAAAAAAGATTATATGCATAAACCAATGAAACTCGGGAAATTGTATCCATGAAGCTAGAGAAAATTTGCTCCATAAAATTCTACACTTAAAAATTCAGTAAAAACTCTGCAAATTCTCAAATAATTTTTTTCACTAATCTTTTCTAGACCTGTCAATGGATCCGGTTTTAATCCGAATCCAATACATATCAGAATCCAATAATCATTAACCTAACAAATCATTAAATATTTACAGTTGGTATGCTCAGATAATAATCCGACCAACTTAAGAAAATATTTAATATAATTTAATATAAATTTTACATGTGTGTGCAAGAGTAATTTGTGTTTTATATACATTTAGAACACACTTAAACTATTTATTTATACTCCAACAAAAAAAAAAACTAGTTATTTACAATAAAGTATCAATATTCGAAAAGAGAGATAAACACTATAAAAGAACGATATTACTAATGAGATTTTGATTTATTTTTTTTCTAGGTCTTAAACTAAATATGATCCCGCGCTAACGGGGTATTGTCCAGTGGAAAATGGCTTTGATTTACAGACCAGTGGTCTCAAGTTTGAATTCCCATGACACCTTGATAGTGTATGTATGTGAGAAACCATCTTCCCTTTGTAATTTAGACTATCACATTAAAAATAATAAAAAATGAATATGATCCCATCTTAATCCAACACTCATCAAATATGGATTGAAAGGTTCAATCCACTGATCCAAATCAAATCTAAATCTTTAGATCAGTCCGATCTGTTAGTCCAACCCGAGTTGTATGTGGGTTTCTATTGACATTATACTACAAGGTATTAAATCATTTAGTTTTTTTTGGGTATCCAAACAGAGGGTATATAACATAACAAGAGCTAATAGAAATTATATCAGAAAATGAAAAATACCTTATATGGTTTTGGTTTGCCGAAGGCAATTCTAGTTTTAGGGTGTCGCCGTGCCGATGAACTTTGTTTGGCTGCTGATAAACAACGGGAAAACAAATGAAGATGAGAAGTTGGGCTACTTCCCCATGGAGGCGTTGATGGGAATATGGAGGGTATTAAATATTTATGTTGACGAAAATATCGAGGTTCCAAAAACATGAACGCAAAAATGGAAATATTTTTTTTGGGTATGAATATAAATGGAAATATCGATAGCAATACATTATCGAAAAATGCAAGTTAATAGAAAATATGAAAATTTTGAATAAATTCTATCAAATATTTGTGGTTTTCCCCAAAAGAAAGTATTAAAAGCGAATATGAGTTAAGCTAGTTGGTCAAGACAGTGAGCTCGCTTCTTTTGCACTAAAAGTTTGAATTCCACAAAACCCAAAAAAGCTCTCTCTCTCTCTCTCTCTCTCTCTCTCTCTCTCTGATAACCCCAAGCCCTCTTTCAGCTAGGGGGAGGTGGGGACCGCCCATCCTCCCCCTCCCCTCTTCTCATCTTCCCTCATCCCCTTCCTCTTTCCCCTCTTTATCCTTCCCTTTCAACCCCCCTCTTTCTCTCTCCACTTTCCTGGGGTGTCTCTTACTGCCCCTTCTTAGGTTTTATGGCTAGATCTATTAGGACAAATTTTATGGTTAGATCTATTAGGATATAGGATTTGTTAGTTGGTTTTGTTTTTGTTTTTTTGTGTAGGGTCTTGGTGGTCAAGGAGGATGCAGCAGTGTTGACATCGATGGGTTTAGCAGCCACCCCGAAACACCATTGTCTCCATGATATAGTTGTCGTTTTGGCCCATATATACACGGATTTGGCTCCAGTTCAGATTTTAGAGTTACAAAAATGGAAGTTGTTGTATTGTGTGGATTGGGGTTTAGCCGGTGTGGCACTAAGGCCATCTCCACCCAATGGACTAAAAGCCTTTTTTTTTTTTGTTTTTAGCCTGAAATCCATCTTCAACCCATGTATTGCAGGTGGCTAAATACCAATCGAGGCAATAAGTTGGGCTATATTTCGCCTGATGTTTTGCCTGGACTTTAAAGAGTGGAGCCCATGGAAAGAGCAAAAAGCGCCCACGTGAGGAGAAATAATGCTGGACCTTCGAGTTATTTTTCTAACTTGAAGCGGGGCCCGCCAGTTGTGTAATTCCAACCCACATGTTTTGTTTTGGGTTAATCGTTTTATTAATCCTTGAATTTAGATCCGATTTGCATTTGAGTCCCTTAATTTCCAAAATCGTTTCCGTGGTCCTTTAACTTCACTTTCGTTAGGACAAATGGTCCTACCGTGAATTTTGTTAACTTTTTCTATTAAATGCAGGGTCAAAATGGTATTTTTATATTAAAACAAACAAAATGAATAAAAAATCATATCTTTAAAATAACAATAAAAGAAAATTTTGAAAAAAAAGAAAAAAAAAAGAAGAAAAATCAAGTTTGAGGGGAGTAGAAATCGGGATAGAGGGGGAGAGAGAGCTTAATTTTAATTTTTTATTCATATTTTAATCAATTTAATACAAAAATACCATTTTACCCTTGCATTTAATAGAAAAGTTAACAAAATTGACGGCAGGACCATTTGTCCTAACGAAACTGAAGTTGAAGGACCACGGGAACGATTTTGAAAATTGAGGGACTCAAATACAAATCAGGTCTAAATTTAGGGACTAATAAAATGATTAACCCTTTTGTTTTTGACAGAGGTGATGTTCTGGCGTTTGAAATCCAATGGCAAAGAATTTGCTTGCGTTCAATTTGTTAAAATCTATGCTTAGCCGCCACCTCTCATCAAACAGCCATGGGTCTTTTTTTTTTTTTTTTTTTTGGGTGACTAAATCTAACTTTAAAACAAAATCCAACAATCCAAAATGAAATCCAACGGTCAAAATATTAATATTAATTAATCTAACCCAAATCTCATCCTAAATTATATAAATATCCACTTATTTGTTCATAATTTGTGTGGTTTCCTTTTATATTTATGAATTAAGATTTTGTTTTTGAATTTTGAATTTTTTTAGATTAGAATGTTTAGAAAAATAAATCATGATGTTATAAAAAAAAAATAATGACAAAAAAAATTAAGGGTTAATCATTCTTAAACAATTTAACAAAATTGCGGACTCAAATTTTGAGTCTGCATAGTTAGAAGAAAAACTATTTGAGTCGAGGCAATACATGAATAGTTGTATTTTGAAGGGGGAAAATTTAGGTTTAGCCCCATTTGGGTTGGAGATGGCCTAAGGGTTTAGCCAGTATGGCATTGTGAGTCTTTTCAGTTGCCAGAGAGTATGTGGAGCCGTGATCCTGTTTCTTTGTTTGTTTTATTCTAGTAATTCTCAGGAACTCTTTAGGAGTTTGATGTGTTTTGTATTTTAGTTGTGGTTTTCGATATGGATTTACCTTTTCTGCTGTTGAATCTATATTGTAAGTCTGAGTACAAGTGTTTTTGGCTGTTGAATCGGGGATTTAAGTGTCTTTTGCTTAAGGCGTAATTCTTTTTAGATCAAATCAACATGTTGTTGTATTTGGTCCTTGGAGACATTGTACCCATATCCAGCATTATGGCTGCTTTGTACTTTCCTATGTTTCATCAATAATTACTATCATTTTTTCTCAACAAAAAAAAGTTTGTGCCCCCTTCCCATTGATTAGATTAATTTAGAGTCTTTAGAGACTATCACTTGTATTAAAAAAAATTATTAAAAGACAATAAGTTTGGATGATTTGGTTTGACTATTCTACACATTGACACGTTAATGTTTAGAGCATCTTCAAGGTAGATGTCAAATACCAAACATCAAATTTAAGTTTGATGACTGATGTGGAAATTTGACATCTTACACAATTTTACACTCCACGTGACGTGTCATATTGAATTATTATTTTATTACAATTTAGTGTTTTTTTATTTATTACTTCTTCGTCGGACTCTAAATCAACAAGATTCCAAAAAGTGCTCATCTAGAGAATCAGAAGATGAATCGGAAAGTGATGAGTCATGTTGGGGTTCTTCACTATAACCCTCCGTTTGGATGCGGGAAAATAACTCAGAATTTAGCTAAAAGTCGGGAATTTAAGAGAAGAAATTGACAATTCCCTTGTTTGGCAACTTAAGCGCGGAATTTATTAAATGATGCGCGGAAAAAATCATGGAAATTGAGGCATCAAATTCCCGAGTTTAATTTCCACCAAAATAGACGTCATTTCACAATTTCCGTAGTGCGGGAATTCATATTTTCCGTGGAGCCAAAACTTAAATAAATAAAAAAAGGCCAAACTTTTGATAAATAAAAAAAGTCATTAATCACTCTGTAGTTGTTTGCTAGCTTTATCACTTTGTGTTATCGCCTTGCTCTGTAGTTGTTAACTTCATATACAACAAGTCATTAATACCCTCATAATCTTAATCGTTTATTCCTATACTTTTGTCTGCAACTTTTTAATCGAAGCCCTTTTAATTTCTCTGGTCATTGGTCTTTTGGCAAGTGAAAAAGAAGTATCAGGGTCTTGATTGCTTCTAGTTCTAATTCCATAGGTACCGGAGAAGTGTCTGCGCATGAAAATATTGAATTAAAGCTGATTGATGATATTAATTCAGCAATACCTTGTGTATCAAATTCTACTGATGAAGTTATGACTCATACTGATAAAGTTGATTATATTGATTTCGATGGTGATACACAAGATTTAGAAGATATTCATGTTATTGATGATATTTCACCAACATCAA